AACCTCTACTTTCCATAGCTAATGCTGTTAAAGATGTAAAAAATATGTTACTAAACTTGAAATATGACAATATTTAACCTTTGAGCACATTATGGGGTACGCAGGAAAGTGATGAGTGGCAGAGGGAGACCAGTAGAGAACATATTAGACAGTTTGGCATCATGGCGTGGAGATGATTCACAGTTCACTGGACAGAAGAAGTCTGTGGACACAATATAATTACCAAGAGACTTGAAATGTGCAAAAAAAAATTGGAAAAGTTCAATGTGAAGCCCCCGCGTGGGTTCCTGGGCCCCATTGTAAGAAAAAAAAAAAAAAAGAATAGACTCACTACCTGCCCAAAAGCATGTCGTAAGAGTTGACTAACTGGGAGCTTCCTTCAAAGTCGGAGTACATCTGCCTGAGAGACAGGAAACCAAAAACAGTCTGCATGCAAATGAGTCAGACCTGTAAAATTGATGTAAACGGAACACTCAGGTAGGTTCTGGAACAGGATTGCAGTCCAAAAGTGGACGAAAAACCAGAACAGGAAGTTTGCAGCCGGCGGAAAGTGAAGAAAAAGAAGAAATGTGAAGCTAAGGCCGAATTTCCATGGCCTGTGGTAAATTGCAGAAGAACAGCAAGGGCTAAATGTCTCTAAATCAATATTTAACAAAAGTAGGATTTGTAGGCATTTTTCTGAAAGCTAATATGTAAATATTTTATTGAACTGAATTCAAGGCCTTTGCTCACTCATTTGTTTTCGGGCAAAGACAGGTCTTTCCCTCCTCGATAACACTTGACTTCTGCAGTTGAAAATAAAATCTCTCTCCACAGAAATAAACAAACAACAAACTTGTTCACATTTGTTGTCCCAGAGAATTCTGTGGCCCCATTTTTACAAAATAGACTTCATAGACTGTTTAAAAAAGCACTCAATAGATTAATGCATTCATTAAATATCTGAACAAAATAGATGTTTACTGCAAAAACTGTTGATTAATCACCAGCTTAAATAGGGAATTTTTTTCTATTTAAATACCAACTGTAATATCAAGTAAAGGTGTCTAGTTCTCATCAATATATAGAGAGGTGTAAGGGGTGGCAAATCTCTCATCCCCTTTAGTATTTATACACACAATATTTACAAACAGATGGAGTGAATCACACTAATGTTTCATCACTGTAAATTAGAACAAACAAGACACAAAGACAAGACTGCGGGAGATATCGAGAAAAATGCCAGGCAATAAATTGTGCAAATCTGTTGTTTTGGGCTTCTTTGTTCAGACAGAGTGAAGTCAAGAACAGGCGAAAAATCAATAAACATCAAGAGATATCCAAAGGATATTGTCATGGACTGATAGTGTAAGGGAAGTAGCCTATTTAAAACAGAAACAGATGCAAGTAACCAAAATTACATATGACCGTGACAGATGTATGCACAAATCAGCGACCCATGACTACTTGAGTGAAGACAAGGAAAAGGGGCTGGACCTTGAGGTAACAAGGATGAGGGACTTAAAGATGAGGGACTGGTGGGTTTGGACATTCATGGCAGAAGGATACATTTAAAGTAGAATAGTCTTCACAGTGTGCCAGTCAGACAGGGACCACAAAACCCCAAAGCACATTCTGCAGTCCTGTCCACTCTACAACTTTGAAAGAAACCTGGCTCAAGAGCAAAGTTGATTGATTGATTTGATTCAAGAACTGACATCACAGCACTCAGGGCATTCCCATAAGCGCTCCATCCCCATTTTCAGCAGCCAGCGAAGAGTTCCGATACTAATGGTGCCAGTAGCTCAAGAGCAAAGTGTGCAGAGCAAGCTGTGGGGAATCAGCCAGGACCTGCAGCTGACATGTGAGTTCAGAGAGGCAACCCTCCTGATGGTCTGATCTGAGCATACAAAACCGAATACAAAGAAGAAGACAGAATAGGTCACTGTAGTTTTCACAGCAGTGTTTTTCATCATAGCTACTAATGTAGAATTTTCTTAGCAAAATCCACTGTGATAGCGATGATGTTGTCATTATATTTATGTGACCTGTAGCTTAACAGTTTTCTGCATGGCTAGATGCTTTGTTTGATGTACTGTCAGCCTAAGTTTTCAGGGACCCTCTTCTTGGCTAAAACTGCAGACTCTTAACTCTTTGAGTCCCAGAGGGTTTAGCATCACAGGCCCAAGGGGTAGTCAAAAGAGATGTAAAATCGGCGCATCATGCGTTCATTGGGTTTTTAGGTAGTAACCAATGAACGTATGATGCGTTCCTTGGGACTCAAAGAGTTAAGATGTAGTGAATCAACAACAGGAGCTCATAATGACAATGGCTAAGACAATGTTTGGTTCTGAGTTGCTGAGATAATACCATTGTGAGACAGGAGCAGTTTATACACGATCAGTGAGAATAACTGCCGGGATTTTAAACTGTTATCGTAAAAATATACAACAGATATACACAGGTGGCATCTTTGATAGATGTCAGGCTGAGTGGTTTGATAGATGTCAGGATGAGTGGTTTGATAGATGTCAGGCTGAGTGGTTTGATAGATGTCAGGCTGAGTGGTTTGATAGATGTCAGGCTGAGTGGTTTGATAGATGTCAGGCTGAGTGGTTTGATAGATGTCAGGCTGAGAGGTTTGATAGATGTCAGGCTGAGTGGTTTGATAGATGTCAGGCTGAGTGGTTTGATAGATGTCAGGCTGAGTAGTTTGATAGATGTCAGGCTGAGTGGTTTGATAGATGTCAGGCTGAGTGGTTTGATAGATGTCAGGCTGAGTGGTTTGATAGATGAGATCTTTATGAGACCATGGTTTGAATTGTTGGTATGGGGATGGCAGATAAGGGTGATATGGATAACAGCCAACAGGACATGAGCTGTTTGGTTTGCAAAGGAACCCCCCCCCCCTCCCCAACATGGGTGTCCAAATCTTTGCACAAATTCTACTGAAATCTCACCCTAATCTCTGCATGTAGGTTTCAGAGCCCTATTGGGGGGGGGGGGGGGGAATGAATATATCCACTGGCCCCTAACAAGCATGCTGTGAAAACTTCTACTATATTTCTATAAGTATAAGGCATGCTGATTAAAGTAGGGTCAAGGACCCTTTTCCACGCCTTGAGGCCTAGAGGGCATATAGGGCTAGACCTTTACTTTATAGAACAATCGGCACAAGATGAGTGATGGGGTCAGCATCACGCCAGCTGCCTTTACTTCCCGGGACTGCACCCGGTACCCACTCAAGGCTGAATCAACCGGGGTGCCAAGGTCATTTTTGAAAAACCTACAACCTTTCGCACTTATAAAACAAAAAAATTATGTCTAAAAATAGTGTGCATCATAAAATGGTAAAATATTTTTTCATCAAATTATTTGTTAGAAAATATGTCGTACAGGTAATGCCTGTTCAGGAGCGATACAATATAAAAAAATTATAAAATTATAAGTTCTTTCCCGTGGTAATAATTTTTGTGATTGTTTCCCCATGCTCGCCGTTTCTGCTGCTGAATTAACTTGATGAATAAAACGTGAGTTCAATAACCTGATGTAAGCACCATTTTTTCTTAAAATTTCCCGTCCCAAAATCAAGATGTGGTTTATACAGAGAATTAAATTATACTTTGGGAAATACAGTAATTATGATTTTTCTTAAATCGGATGTGATAAAACGAAAGGTGCAAATATAGAACAACCTAATTCAAAAACTCTTTTGAGGGAAAACAGAGAAGAAATCTTACCTTAATCTATTCTTCTTTACATGCTTAATGTACCTACTTTTAATTTACACTTTAATTTGTTTACTTATATTAGCTGTTTTCAGGTTCTCTCATAGATGAGGGAAGTTAAATCCTACCCATATCTATATTTGTTTATATGCTGCATGTACTTCTAATTGATATAACAGAGATGAAAATAGAATACTCGACAATTAATTGCTTGGAACATTTCACTGTTCTCATCAGTTGCATTAGGCATAAAAGGTTAGTTCGACGTTAGTCTACCCAAATAGAGTAGGTAACTTTTCATTCATAAGTTTGTTGGGCTGGTCAACTTTCCTGAAGGTTATGGGTGTGTCCTGCTCCGTTTTTTGGTTTCTGCGATGTCTAGCATTTAGGTTTTCATTCTGAGAAAGAGAATGCCTGTGACAAAGGTTGCAGCACTCTCTAGGGGGGGGGGGGGAGGGAGGGGGGGGGGTTGTGTTAGATCCAGTTTCTCCATGTTTTTGGAGTGATAAAAGCGCTGGAATGCTGAAATATACAACACGTGATAACAACAGCATTGTGGAACAACGCCCGTAACCGTGCGTGAAGGTCACAGGGCTCAGGAACTACCAATCAAAAGAGAGCTAGTGTATATATGGGCGGGGTCTTTGGAGACTAATGTCGAACTAACCCTACAGAATTCAATTCAATCAACATGATGGACAATCCCATGTAAGGTAAACAACCGATCATGTGGTTAATCTCAGACCTCCATGGTGAGTGGTAACAAGAGACTTATTTGTGTATGTTAGTTGAGAGGATTCCTGTTTTGTGCTTCATTATGTGCTGGTGCAAAATCCTAGATAATGCACCTGACGAGACACAGTGAAATATGTCAGGTATTAATCTGTGCAATAATTTGTTTGTGTGTTCATTATTTAACTCTTTCTGTCTTGTATGGATTTGTATTTTTTTTAAATAATTTTTTTTCATTAAATATTGCCAGGAAAACCGTAACCAATTGCTGTGTTGGGACTGAAAGAATTATATACTACATTGTACTTCTAATTTTCTAAATTCTCATCAAGTTATCTACACCAAATATACATATATCGAAAAAAAGAAAAGAAAGACAGATGACACATATTGCTACTTAATACTTTGATACATCAAACACTGTTCAAGAGGCTGTGGATATTTGAAATTTCGGGGGATTCGACATTCAAGGTTACAGGACCAACAACATGGGAGGTAACACTGTGAAATGGCAGCTGCACTCAAGGCAAGAACAACATGGCGTGATAATAATCCAGCATGCTAGCCATTGTCACGATCCTTTCTCCTGTGATCAAGAACAGCACGCCACAAACGGCACCTATAACCTCCACTGGAAGATAAAAATCAAAAGACAAGTGAGGTAAAAATAATCCTCTATGGCAAGAGACAAGTGAGGTAGAAAACATCCTGTATGACAAGAGACAAGTGAGGTAGAAAACATCCTGTATGACAAGAGACAAGTGAGGTAGAAAACATCCTGTATGACAAAAGACAAGTGAGGTAGAAAACATTCTGTATGACAAGAGACAAGTGAGGTAGAAAACATCCTGTATGACAAGAGACAAGTGAGGTAGAAAACATCCTGTATGACAAGAGACAAGTGAGGTAGAAAACATCCTGTATGACAAGAGACAAGTGAGGTAGAAAACATCCTGTATGACAAGAGACAAGTGAGGTAGAAAACATCCTGTATGACAAGAGACAAGTGCGGTAGAAAACATCCTGTATGACAAGAAGACAAGTGAGGTAGAAAACATCCTGTATGACAAGAGACAAGTGAGGTAGAAAACATCACGTATGACAAGAGACAAGTGAGGTAGAAAACATCCTGTATGACAAGAGACAAGTGAGGTAGAAAACATCCTGTATGACAAGAGACAAGTGAGGTAGAAAACATCCTGTATGACAAAAGACAAGTGAGGTAGAAAACATTCTGTATGACAAGAGACAAGTGAGGTAGAAAACATTCTGTATGACAAGAGACAAGTGAGGTAGAAAACATCCTGTATGACAAGAGACAAGTGAGGTAGAAAACATCCTGTATGACAAGAGACAAGTGAGGTAGAAAACATCCTGTATGACAAGAGACAAGTGAGGTAGAAAACATCCTGTATGACAAGAAGACAAGTGAGGTAGAAAACATCCTGTATGACAAGAGACAAGTGAGGTAGAAAACATCACGTATGACAAGAGACAAGTGAGGTAGAAAACATCCTGTATGACAAGAGACAAGTGAGGTAGAAAACATCCTGTATGACAAGAGACAAGTGAGGTAGAAAACATCACGTATGACAAGAGACAAGTGAGGTAGAAAACATCATGTATGGCAAGAGACAAGTGAGGTAGAAAACATCCTGTATGACAAGAGACAAGTGAGGTAGAAAACATTCTGTATGACAAGAGACAAGTGAGGTAGAAAACATCCTGTATGACAAGAGACAAGTGAGGTAGAAAACATCCTGTATGGCAAGAGACAAGTGAGGTAGAAAACTTCATGTATGACAAGAGACAAGTGAGGTAGAAAACATCCTGCATGACAAGAGACAAGTGAGGTAGAAAACATCCTGTATGACAAGAGACAAGTGAGGTAGAAAACATTCTGTATGACAAGAGACAAGTGAGGTAGAAAACATCCTGTATGACAAGAGACAAGTGAGGTAGAAAACATCCTGTATGACAAGAGACAAGTGAGGTAGAAAACATCCTGTATGACAAGAGACAAGTGAGGTAGGAAACATCCTGTATGACAAGAGACAAGTGAGGTAGAAAACATTCTGTATGACAAGAGACAAGTGAGGTAGAAAACATTCTGTATGACAAGAGACAAGTGAGGTAGAAAACATTCTGTATGACAAGAGACAAGTGAGGTAGAAAACATTCTGTATGACAAGAGACAAGTGAGGTAGAAAACATACTGTATGACAAGAGACAAGTGAGGTAGAAAACATCATGTATGACAAGAGACAAGTGAGGTAGAAAACATTCTGTATGACAAGAGACAAGTGAGGTAGAAAACATCCTGTATGACAAGAGACAAGTGAGGTAGAAAACATCATGTATGACAAGAGACAAGTGAGGTAGAAAACATCCTGTATGGCAAGAGACAAGTGAGGTAGAAAACATCCTGTATGACAAGAGACAAGTGAGGTAGAAAACATTCTGTATGACAAGAGACAAGTGAGGTAGAAAACATCCTGTATGACAAGAGACAAGTGAGGTAGAAAACATCCTGTATGGCAAGAGACAAGTGAGGTAGAAAACATCCTGTATGACAAGAGACAAGTGAGGTAGAAAACATTCTGTATGATAAGAGACAAGTGAGGTAGGAAACATCCTGTATGACAAGAGACAAGTGAGGTAAAAAAACATCCTGTATGACAAGAGACAAGTGAGGTAGGAAACATCCTGTATGACAAGAGACAAGTGAGGTAGAAAACATCCTGTATGACAAGAGACAAGTGAGGTAGAAAACATCCTGTATGACAAGTGAGGTAGAAAACATTTTGTATGACAAGAGACAAGTGAGGTAGAAAACATTCTGTATGACAAGAGACAAGTGAGGTAGAAAACATCCTGTATGACAAGAGACAAGTGAGGTAGAAAACATCCTGTATGACAAGAGACAAGTGAGGTAGAAAACATCATGTATGACAAGAGACAAGTGAGGTAGAAAACATCCTGTATGACAAGAGACAAGTGAGGTAGAAAACATCCTGTATGACAAGAGACAAGTGAGGTAGAAAACATTCTGTATGACAAGAGACAAGTGAGGTAGAAAACATTCTGTATGACAAGAAGACAAAATAAAAAAGTAGGGTGTTGCCTGGTTGACAGACTGTTTAAATCTGAATGGCGCCATACATTTTTCAAAAATGACTTTGGCTCCCAAGTGGACCCAGCCTTAAATGGGTACCAGGTAAAGGCTTGGGAAGTAAAGGCGGTCAGCATAATGTTAACCACATCACCCACCGAGTGCCAATTGGTCTATAAAGTATAGGTCTAGCTCTGTATGACCAATACACCTGAAGGCACCAAAAAGGACCCTTTAGGAACATCCAGTTAGCCAGTCCGGTGTTGATCATGAGTAAGGACCATCATCACAGTATTCTGGTTAGATTCACAGGTGTTCTTATCTCCCCTTCAAAAGCTCTACAAGTATACAATCACAGTTCAAGCCCATACTGTGTTAACCGTCTCATATTTCGGACAAGTATAGGCAATCTACTTTACTTTCTGTGCTACCTGTAAGGACAATAATTTTAAAAAGCTGCAAATGAAAGAACTAGCCAGCGGGCACAGCCGATCAAAAGTTCAAAAAGTGATTAATGACAATTATCACCCATGTGATGTGATTATCTGTAAAGATGGCTCTGTGTTGAGAGGCAGAAGTTTATAGGGGTTCACAGCAAAAGCAAATGACCCTTAGTGCAACAAATTCTGGCATGGCAAATGTCTGTTGGCTGCTTTCAAATGCCATCCACCTGCTCTGAGGGTTTCATGTTTCCCTGACAGGGAGGCTAAACAGGTACACTCCTCTGGCCAGGGGTGACCTATAGGCTAGCGGAGGGAAGAAGAGCACAATACCACCATATCCTACAATATAAACAGTAGGAGACAACTATTTTAACTTCTTCTTCAGCAATCCGAACCCCCGTGGTTCACTGCTGCAGATAGCACTTATCTCCATTCACCTCTGTGATTAGCCCTCTCTTTCAAGTAGGTGACTCCAAGTGTTTGTATGTCTGCTTGTACATTATCTCTTCACCGTCATCATGGTCTGCCTTGTGGCCCTCTCCCATACAACTCTTTGGTGTACTCACTCATTTGGTGTATAGCAGACAATTTTACTGAAAAATCCCCCCAGACATAAAGTCTATAAAACAATAGACATGAATTAGTTAAGGGCTAGACTCAACTGGCAGATAAAAGGCAAATTAGAAGCAAGAGTCCAGGACATTAGACACTGCAGCACACTAGACCATGCAGCAGACTAGACCATGCAACAGACTAGACCATGCAGCAGACTAGACCATGCAGCAGACTAGATACTGCAGCAGACTAGACCATGCAGCAGACTAAATACTGCAGCAGACTAGACCATGCAGCAGACTAAATACTGCAGCATACTAGACCTTGCAGCACACTAGACCTTGCAGCACACTAGACCTTGCAGCACACTAGACCTTGCAGCACACTAGACCATGCAGCAGACTAGACCTTGCAGCACACTAGACCTTGCAGCACACTAGACACTGCAGCACACTAGACCATGCAGCACACTAGACCATGCAGCAGACTAGACCATGCAGCAGACTAGACCATGCAGCAGACTAGATACTGCAGCAGACTAGACCATGCAGCAGACTTGACACTGCAGCAGACTAGACCATGCAGCACACTAGACACTGCAGCACACTAGACCATGCAGCAGACTAGATACTGCAGCAGACTAGATACTGCAGCAGACTAGACCATGCAGAAACCTAGATACTGCAGCAGACTAGATACTGCAGCAGACTAGACCCTGCAGCAGACTAGATACTGCAGCAGACTAGATACTGCAGCAGACTAGATACTGCAGCAGACTAGATACTGCAGCAGACTAGATACTGCAGCAGACTAGACCATGCAGCAGACTAGATACTGCAGCAGACTAGATACTGCAGCAGACTAGATACTGCAGCAGACTAGATACTGCAGCAGACTAGACCATGCAGCAGACTAGATACTGCAGCAGACTAGACCATGCAGCAAACTAGACACTGCAGCAGACTAGACACTGCAGCAGACTAGACACTGCAGCAGACTAGATACTGCAGCAGACTAGACACTGCAGCAGACTAGATACTGCAGCAGACTAGACACTGCAGCAGACTAGATACTGCAGCAGACTAGACACTGCAGCAGACTAGACACTGCAGCAGACTAGACCATGCAGCAAACTAGACACTGCAGCAGACTAGACACTGCAGCAGACTAGACACTGCAAGCAGACTAGATACTGCAGCAGACTAGACACTGCAGCTGACTAGACCATGCAGCAGACTAGATACTGCGGCACACTAGACCATGCAGCAGACTAGACCATGCAGCAGACTAGATACTGCAGCACACTAGACCATGCAGCAGACTAGACCATGCAGCAGACTAGACCATGCAGCAGACTAGATACTGCAGCACACTAGACCATGCAGCAGACTAGATACTGCAGCACACTAGACCATGCAGCAGACTAGACCATGCAGCAGACTAGATACTGCAGCACACTAGATACTGCAGCACACTAGACAATGCAGCAGACTAGATACTGCAGCACACTAGACCATGCAGCAGACTAGATACTGCAGCACAGTAGATACTGCAGCACACTAGACCATGCAGCAGACTAGATACTGCAGCACACTAGATACTGCAGCACACTAGACCATGCAGCACACTAGACCATGCAGCAGACTAGATACTGCAGCACACTAGACCATGCAGCAGACTAGATACTGCAGCACACTAGACCATGCAGCACAGTAGATACTGCAGCACACTAGACCATGCAGCAGACTAGATACTGCAGCACACTAGACCATGCAGCAGACTAGATACTGCAACACACTAGACCATGCAGCAGACTAGACCATGCAGCAGACTAGATACTGTAGCAGACTAGATACTGCAGCACACTAGACCATGCAGCAGACTAGATACTGCAGCACACTAGACACTTCAGCACACTAGACACTTCAGCACACTAGACACTGCTGCACATGAGACACTGCTGCACATGAGACACTGCTGCACATGAGACACTGCTGCACATGAGACACTGCTGCACATGAGACACTGCTGCACATGAGACACTGCTGCACATGAGACACTGCTGCACAACAGACACTGCTGCACATGAAATCATTTTCTTCTTTTACTTCCATTTACCACCTGTAAACTCTAGTAAACAGTTATGGCTGATGATCCAATTCTGGACTTTAGCCTTGTTCCAGAACGAGTTTTGCTTGCACATCCATTTTACAGATCTGGCTCAATTGTATGCAGACTGTTGGTTCCTCACCTCTCAGGCAAATACACTTAGATGTGAAAGGAAACAACCCTAATTAGCTGCACTCTACAACATGCTTGTTACAGGGACAGTGGGTCCCCCCCAACACACACACCTCTCCCCAAAAACTCCTCTCTTCACACACCTCTCCCCACACACATCTCTCCCCACACACACACCTTTCCCCACACACATCTCTCTTCACACACCTATCCCCACACACATCTCTCCCCACAAACACACACCTTTCCCCCACACACATCTCTCCCCACACACACACACCTTTCCCCACACACATCTCTCCCCACACACACACCTTTCCCCACACACATCTCTCCCCACACACACACCTTTCCCCACACACACCTCTCCCCACACACATTTCCCCAATGATATACTGGAAACACACTAAGGAAGAACATGAAATCAATGTTGACAATTCTATGATGTTAAAAGAAATAACTAATGTATATCAAACACTATAGAAACAAGAAGATAAAACGCAACCTACCGTATACTCAACTGTCGTATATCTTCCCATGTTAGGAGCTCTAAAATGTCATTAAGTGTGTAAGCTTCCTCACAAATCTGCATATAGAATGACAGAGAATAGATCAAATAATTACAAGGTTAACAAGAGACTATCATATCAAGAGACAGAAACACCAAATGTAGCAGGTGATATAGTCAAGTTTAGGTACATATAATAGGGGTATAATGGCCACATTGTATTTTCATATATAGATCAGTATTTTATGTAAGTAAACTAGATCCAATTTTTTTTTAAAGTATCCAGAAGCCATGAGTTGTTAATTCTTAGGCTCGGTATTATCGATATCGCAACCCTTCGGCCTTGATTCCATGATAAATACCGTCAGTCTGGGAAAAATGTGGCTTTTCTGCCTACCCCCGGGCGAGAACCCAGACCACAAGGAGTTTGTCACCCTGTCACCACGCAATCCGGTTTAGTCAACTACGCTAGCGAGCCGGGCAACTAGATCCACATATATACACACACACCCACAACATACACATATGGTGTACATATGTCTACAATCACAAACACACACATACATGCATGCACACACACATATACTGGAAGCTGCAGTGGTCAGATGCTTACCTCTTGGCGCAGAGAGGGTTCGAACCCCCCTCAGGCTGATTTTCAAAATAACTGACCTTGGTTCCCAGTACAACCCAACTTAAAAGGTAACAGGAAATGTCCTGGTAAGTAAAGACAGCTGCCATGATATCAATCACATTACCCAGGAGTGTTGATTGATCAATACAAATATAGCTCTAGAACTAATTGATCAATAAAAATATAGCTCTAAAACTAATATGACTGATTAATCCTGATGTGAAAAGGTTCCTTTGCTTTTTACTTTATGTGAATACATACATGCATACATACCAACATACATACATACCTACATACATACCAACATACATACATACCAACATACATACATACCAACATACATACATACATACATACATACATACATACATACATACATACATACATACATACATACATACATACATACATACATACATACATACATACATACATACATACATACATACATACATACATACATACATACATACCAACATACATACATACCAACATACATACCAACATACATACATACCAACATACATACATACATACATACATACATACATACATACCAACATACATACATACATACATACATACATACATACATACATACATACATACATACATACATACATACATACATACATACATACATACATACATACATACATACATACATACATACATACATACATACATACATACATACCAACATGCATACATACCAACATGCATACATACCAACATGCATACATACCAACATGCATACATACCAACATGCATACATACCAACATGCATACATACCAACATGCATACATACCAACATACATACATACCAACATACATTTATACATACATACATACATACATACATACATACATACATACATACATACATACATACATACATACATACATACATACATACATACATACATACATACATACATACATACATACATACATACATACATACATACATACATACATACATACATACATACATACATACATACATACATACATACATACATACATACATACATACATACATACATACATACATACATACATACATACATACATACATACCAACATACATACATACCAACATACATACATACCAACATGCATACATACCAACATGCATACATACCAACATGCATACATACCAACATGCATACATACCAACATACATACATACCAACATACATACATACCAACATGCATACATACCAACATACATACATACCAACATACATACATACCAACATACATACATACCAACATACATACATACCAACATACATACATACCAACATACATACATTCATGCAGGCAGAAACAGAGACACACACATACATATGCATGCACGTGAGCACTGCACACACACACACACACACACACACATAAACACAGAGAGAGAGAGAGATTGAGAGAGAGAGAGAGAGAGAGAGAGAGAGAGAGAGAGAGAGAGAGGTGACAACTGTAACTACAACTACTTCAGGTTCCTTCTTCATTTTCTGCATTCAGGCTTAAAAGGGCGGTTGGCACATTGTGTTGTGGTGTACAGCTAGACTGTTTTATCTGCACACTGTGGCCCAACACACCTGATTTCAGTAGACATCTCATTAGTTGCCTTGTATGACATGCATGCTGCAGGAAGAGGGGCCAGCGTTTTTTGTTTTCTGTTTCTCCTAGATGGGGTCCGAGAATCAATAGGGAGAGCTTTCCTGTGCAAAGATAAACTATGAGAGAACATACTCTGAACCAACTGTAGACCTAGCAACTCTTACTTCTTGAATGCTGATTAAAAGATACGTAAACATGGTACTCAGGACACAGGTATAAGTGCTCGATCTCCCTCAGCAAATATTACTTTTTTATCACACTCTGGCTGCTCAATCTCCCTCAGCAAATATTACTTTTTTATCACACTCTGGCTGCTCAATCTCCCTTAACAAACATTACTTTTTTGTTTGTTTGTTTATGCCATTCTGGCTGAATGCACATCTAACATGTGCTCACACTCAACATGCAGCACTGATATTTGTGTGTATTGAATGTTCCTACTCTCTGTGTAGGTTCTAGGGACCCACTGCCTCAATAACATGCATGTCCTAAGAGTCGACTGATTTAGAGCTGCTTTCAAAGTCAGAGTGCATCATCTTGGGAGGCAAGGAACCATCAGTTTGCACCAAAAAAAAAAGCCACATCTGTAAAACTGATGTGCAAAAACCCCCACGTTCTGGAACAACTTGCAGCCAGAGTTTACAGCCGGGGAAAGCCAGGAAGAAGAAGAATGTTCCATCAGTCTTCATACTGTTATCCTACTACACCATGTATCATTAAACAGACATTATTCCCTGATTTCTTATACATTTGAAGATTTGCTCTGTTGTCTGATGTTAGATGCTCAAAAAAGCCAAATCTGCCGTGAATGTTCAATAAAGACACAGATGCTCAGAAAAGCCAAATCTGCCGTGAATGTTCAATAAAGACACAGATGCTCAAAAAGGCACAATCTGACCAGACTGTATCAATATAGTCCAAGAATATTCTGGCCAAGACTGGCCTTATTATACATCTATAAGCCACACATCCAAATCTGCCACTAGCAGGTATAAAAACTGGTCAGCACCAACTATGACAGGTGATTAACAACAGTATACTATAAACAGAAAGCTTTTTTCCCGGAATCCACTGAACAAAAGAAATAGTAGCATTTTTTGGGTTAAATCTAGAGATGAAAAACAGAGACAAAGAGGATATTAAAAAAAAAAGCTAAAATAGATATCAAAAGATAAGAGATAAAGTATGTGATATTTTTCATGGCAGCTAAACATACCAGGAATATGATGCCAGACATATTTTGTATAGACCAGTTAGCATTCAAAGGTCAGTTTAAAAGAAATCCAACTTGAAGCAGAATCAAAACTAAGACTGGCAAGCAGGCATTCAAAGATAAGAGGGACTGACATGAATTGGCTGAGGATTTATGCTTTGGTGGCAGATGAAGGAAGAATAACAACTACCCAGGTATGGGAGAGAAAGCATTTAAATAACCATTCAAACACATTTTAATATTTAAAAAAAAAAAAAATGACGGCAAAAGAAAGGGAAGAGAAAAGACAGAAAATGGTAAGAAAAACATAAAGTACATGTTAGCTTTGCAAAAACCATTTACAAAAAAACAAACAGCAAGACGTTGGTTGGGGGGATAAGCTTCGTCAGCAGAACACAACAAGAAGCAAAACACAACACATACACAAATGAATTACATAATACTTACCTACACTGTGATGAACAGTATACAGAACAGAAATAAATGCTACTGCTGACGGTTCACACATTTCCTGTGGCAAACAACATCAATCACCAATAATCAAGAAACAAATATTTGGACAACAAGGCTGAAGGACTTACAGTCTGTATACTTTCCTGATCCAAATGTAAATTCTGCAGCCAGGACACCAGTGTCTGATCGTATGAAGAGGAATCCTGCAAGTTCTTGCTGCCTTCCTGTGGTGAATCTAGAGATGAATAGAATATACTCCATTAATGAAAGTGAAAAATTATGATCATTCTTGCACAGCCAAAGGCTACAAAATCTAAAAACAGATTATCCTGCCCAACATATAGTCTACACATTAAATAAACCAATTACCCTGCCAAAAATAATGCTCCTACATGAAAGAAACAGCATACACAGCCCAATAAAGCTATATATAATAAACAGCTTACCCAGCACCAAGAAAATCTAAAAACAGCTTACCCCGCACCAAGAAAATCTAAAAACAGTTTATCCAGCCCAATAAAAAGAATCTCAGAAACAGCTTACCCAGTGGTGCTGGTGATGTTTCTCTAGAGTTTCCAGCACTTCCTTGACCCGTGAGTATCACCCTAGAAAACATAAGAATCAGTTTTTACAGAGTGGTTTCCCTTTAATTTAAAATAACAATTAAAACGCTGTGAATTGTCACATTACTGTGGTCAATCAACATTTCTTGGGTATATCATGGGTTAGGGGAAACTGAATAACAGGAAAGTTGGAAGGAAGTACAGGCAGAGGAAGACTCTCACAATGTTGGACAGTTTGTTATTATGGTTAGTTAGATGTCTACAGATTATTGCAGAACCAATCCCAACATTTGTGTGTGTGTGTTTTTTTTTTTGGGGGGGGGGGGGGGGGGGGAGTAAGAGGTGCTATTGTGATTTTACAAGACAATTTTATGTTTAGTAATTTGCCATTGCTTTCTGGATGTTTGGTGCTCCATACCATTGTGAAAATCACAGCAATGTGGTCTGCTGTCAAACTGCAAGCAGCCAGAATCAAACCAGGTATTTCAGAATTGCAAGGTGTGTTTGCAATGACTAAGCCATAGAAACACAACTATAAACATCATCATGATAAACATAAACCTTCCATGTGATGAGTACCAATCTTCAAAGTAAATGCGATAAACACAAACTGTAAAGTAAAAGTGATCAGTACAAATCTTCAAAGTAAATGCGATAAACACAAACTGTAAAGTAAAAGTGATGAATACAAATCTTCAAAGTAAAAATTTAAAAAATCGAAACATTCCATGTAAAAGAGAACAGCCTGCCAGTCTTTAACTAGGGGCTGCGTGGGCTAGAGGCATGGTGTTCACCTCGAGTGCCAGAGGTTCTGGGTTCAATGCCCAGGATTTTTTCACACAGACTTGGACTTCTAGTAATTCCCCCCTGGTCTCTGGGTAGTGAGATCAGACGCCCGTGTGCATTGTTGCGCATGTAAAACATCCTTTGGCAGTTGGAAAAGAGTAGCCTAATGGTGCTGCCCGGGCAAAATTTATAGTAAAACATCTACCCAAAGTATTTCAGGATCCTTGCCTGCGCTACAGAGCCTGTGCACTACGCTGTGCTGTTTTGGACTCAGACTTGAGTTAAAAAGAAGAACGGAGCACGTATGGGTTATACCAGTGTGTCATGATGTTGATCCGTTGTTCAAAACCTCAAAATAGTCTTTATTTACAAATATAATAGAAAGCTGTGAATTATCACATGACTGTGTTCAATCAACATGCCCTAGGCACATCAAGGGTTAGGGGAAACTGATTAAAGGACAGCTGAAGCGAACTACAGGCAGAGGAAGACTGATAGAATGTTGGACAGCTGAAGCGAACTACAGGCAGAGGAAGACTGATAGAATGTTGGACAGCTGAAGCGAACTACAGGCAGAGGAAGACTGATAGAATGTTGGACAGCTGAAGTGAACTACAGGCAGAGGAAGACTGATAGAATGTTGGACAGCTGAAGCGAACTACAGGCAGAGGATGACTGATAGAATGTTGGACAGCTGAAGCGAACTACAGGCAGAGGAAGACTGATAGAATGTTGGACAGCTGAAGCGAACTACAGGCAGAGGATGACTGATAGAATGTTGGACAGCTGAAGCGAACTACAGGCAGAGGAAGACTGATAGAATGTTGGACAGCTGAAGCGAACTACAGGCAGAGGAAGACTGATAGAATGTTGGACAGCTGAAGCGAACTACAGGCAGAGGATGACTGATAGAATGTTGGACAGCTGAAGCGAACTACAGGCAGAGGATGACTGATAGAATGTTGGACAGTTGGGTATCATGGTTAGTTAATTATGTGACAGTTTATCCTCACTGCACATGGAACCATTCAGTCCATAAGTGCACAGGTCCCCACCTCAGTCACTACCGCAGCCTGTAGGGGCTGATGACACCAATCCTGTAGGGGCTGATGACACCAATCCTGTAGGGGCTGATGACACCAGTCCTGTAGGGGCTGATGACACCAGTCCTGTAGGGGCTGATGACACCAGTCCTGTAGGGGCTGATGACACCAGTCCTGTAGGGGCTGATGACACCAGTCCTGTAGGGGCTGATGACACCAGTCCTGTAGGGGCTGATGACACCAGTCCTGTAGGGGCTGATGACACCAGTCCTGTAGGGGCTGATGACACCAGTCCTGTAGGGGCTGATGACACCAGTCCTGTAGGGGCTGATGACACCAGTCCTGTAGGGGCTGATGACACCAGTCCTGTAGGGGCTGATGACACCAGTCCTGTAGGGGCTGATGACACCAATCCTGTAGGGGCTGATGACACCAGTCCTGTAGGGGCTGATGACACCAGTCCTGTAGGGGCTGATGACACCCGTTCTGTAGGGGCTGCTGAAAAAAGATTTCTTTTTTCTTTTTGTGCGTGTGTGTGGCTTCCTCGTTCGCCGAAAATTGTGACTAAAAGATATGTTTATTCCTGGAAAGAATGTTAAATGTGTTAGAGTAGTGTAGTTGTTCAGTTGAAGATGAATTCGCGACAGGCCCGGCAAGTCGGCGGAGGATTCAGCGGTTCAAAAAGAAATGCCCAAGATGAAAATAGGAGATGTTTTAGAAATAGGGAAAATAGAGGCCAGCAGAAGGTTAAGACCAGGGTAGGGACAATCAATATATGTGGATGGGGCAATAAAGAAGAACAAGTGATCGAATTAATGGAGAAATATAATGTTAAAGTATTAGGCTTATCAGAAGTGAGAATGAAAGGACGAGGAATGAAGAAACTACATAAAAATTACGTTTTGATACAATCGGGAGTAGAGGAAATGCAACGTGCGAAGCATGGAGTGGGATTTGTCATCGATCCCGAAACTGCAAAAAATATACTTGAAGTTAACTACATCTCGGAAAGAATTATAAGTTTGAAATTACAAGTAGGAAATAGTTCGGAGGTGTTTTTTCAGATATATGCTCCGTGCAATGGAAATTACAGTGAAGAGGATTTAGATTATTTCTTTGAGAACCTGGATGATGAAATTTGTAAGATAGATAATAACGAGAAACTGATCGTGATGGGTGATTTTAACGGTAAGACAGGACGAGACAGAAGAACATTCACAAGATACCTAGGCAATTATGGAGACAGCATTAGAAATGAAAATGGCGAAAGACTGTTGGATATATGTACACAACATGACCTTGTTATTACCAACACCTTTTTTCAACATAGAGCTTCACAAGTTTTTACATGGTATAAATGGAATGATCCAGATACCAAGAGTCAGATTGATTACATCTTGACGAGAAAAAGAGACTTTCATCAAGTTACAGATGCGAGAGTTATACCAAACTTGAGTTTAGATACAGATCATAGGATGGTGATCCTTGACAGAAAAATCAAGATAAGTTATCAAACCAAAAAGAAATGTAATAAAAGTGACATAATAAAATGGAAAGAACTAGAGTGTGAAGAAAACAGGCGAGCGTTTCAGCAAAAATTAAAGGAAAATTATGAACAGCTTCCACAAAACACTCTTGGGGTAAATACAGAATGGTTGAATTTCAGAGACACCACTATGAAAATAGCACAAGAAATATGTGGAACTAAAAGGAAAGGTAACATAGGGCGTAAGCTCTCAACATGGTGGTCTGAAGAAATAAGAAGTATTGTGAGCAGTAAAAAGAAAGCTTATGGCATTTGGTTGAGGAGCAGAACAGAAGAGGATTACATAACATACAGGAAAATTAGAAGAGAAGTAAATAGAACTATCAGAAAAGCAAAAAGAGATTCATGGGAAAAGTTTGGAAGCAAGCTGGCTGAAGAAGAAAGATCAGCAGTGAAAAACTACTACAAAAAAAAATCAAAGGCATGAGAAACAGGAATGAAGAATACAACCCAACAGAAATTATAAATGATGAAGTTGGCCAACCTTTAATAGAACCTACTAAAATCTTAGCAAGGTGGAGTAATTACTTTGAAGCATTACTTAGCTGCAATAAAACAGATAAAAGCAGGGAAGAAAATAAAAAACAACTCGGAACTAACAGCAGAGGAACTAGAACCAGGTATATTATTGGATGAGGTAAAATATGCCATTCGAACCGCGCCTAGACTAAAGGCGACAGGTATTGATGATCTACCAGCTGAGGCCATCAAGGCAGCAGGAGAAACGGGAGCAATATGGTTAAAGAGAATATTTCAGGTGGCATGGGAAAATCAAGAAACACCATCAGATTGGCAAACTGCTGTCATTGTCCCGCTGTGGAAAAATAAAGGAAGTAAGAGGGAATGTACTAATTACAGAGGAATATCACTTCTCATTCACACTGGGAAAATGTATGCTAAGATCATCGAAAAAAGGCTGAGACCATTGATAGAGTATCAACTTTCAGAAGCACAGATGGGCTTTCGACGAAACAGAAGTTGCACAGATGCCATTTATACATTGAGACAACTATCAGAGAGGGCAATAGAACATGATAAGACATGTTTGTTGACATTCATAGACCAAGAAAAAGCCTTCGATAGAGTCGACAGGAATATGTTGTGGGAATGTATGGGGAAAAAAGGAATCAGCAATCATCTCATTAATATTTGCAAAAGCCTGTACACACGTAGTGAATGCTGCATAAGATCAAAGGCAGGGTTGTCTAGAACTTTTATAGTGAACTCTGGTGTGCGTCAGGGCTGTGTACTATCGCCGCTTCTTTTCATAACATACATGGACGCCATATGTAGCGAAACAGACTTTAATCAGGAAGAAGATATAACAGAATTACTTTTCGCCGACGACCAGGTACTAATAGCAGAAAATATGGAATGCCTACAGAACCACCTAAATCAAATTAGTAACAAAGGGGAGGAATATAATATGAAAATAAACACTACGAAGACAGAGACAATGATGATAGGAAGACATAAAGACAATTTAGAAATTAAATTAAAAAACAACACCCTGAGACAAACAGAGGAATTTAAGTATTTGGGAGCAATTTTTACTTCAGACGGAAAACTGGACAGAGAAATTAGCTCCAGATGTGCCAAAGCTAATCAAGTAATGGGCCAACTATCTCCCCTGTTGACACACAAGCAGATACCTCAGAGTACTAAAGTGAATCTTATCAGAACTATTTTTTGGCCAATACTATGCTATCAGTGCCAAACGTGGACACTTACATCCTCCAATGAACGTAAAATTGTGACAACAGAGATGAAATGCCTTAGAAGAGCTGCAGGAGTTTCAAGGAAAGACAGAATACAAAATCATGAAATCAGACGAATGCTAGGAATAAAGCCAGTCTTACAGGTCATCAAAGAACAACAAATGAAATGGTTTGGACACCTAACAAGAATGCCCTGGTACTATCTGCCACAGCGAGCCACACTAAAACGTTACAACGGGTATAAAGCGAGTGGAAGACCTCGGAAAAGATGGAGTGATGGCATTAAGAACAGCCTTACAGAAATGAACATCAGTCTTAATAGTGCTCTTGACAGAGCTCATCAACGAACATTACATCTCCCCCCGACACTTCGATGAGGTACAAGGTGGAAGAGAAGAAGAAGAAGAAGAAGAAGAAGAAGAAGTGTGGCTTCCTGCATAGTGCCCTTGTCTGGCCACACCCCTTTCAACATGCTGTTCTGGTATCATGGTATGAAAGAACATCAGTATCTATAATACATCTGTAGCTATCACCTGCGTCTCTCCCTGTGTGGGTTGTGGGATCTATAGCCCCCTTTAAAAAAAATAAAAATAAAAAAACAAACCCATTTCCCTCCCCACCAACACCACATCCCCTAGCAAGCATGTCATAAAAGACAACTAACTGGAGGTTTGCTGAAATCAGATGTGTTAGGCTAAAAGGTGTCTCTTTAAAGGCAAATGCAGAAGAAAAAGAAGAAGAAGAAGGAGAAGAAGAAGAAAAAGAAGAAGAAGAAGTAGAAGAAGAAGAAGTAGAAGAAGAAGACTTGCTTTGTGAATGGGGCTCTGTTAATCTACTCATAGAATAAAATTACCTCAGCTGTAGCATCGACATCTTCTTGTCTTGTAGTGACTGATGCAGCAAGGTCTGGTAGTGTTTATGTGACTCCAGCAACTCTTGTAACAACCTGCAACAGTGCAATAAATGACAGATGTCATGTCTGGCTGAAACAATCTCTACCTGCAACAGTTTCAAATGTCAGTATAATCTCTAAATGCCAACCACTGCAATGTAATATAGTAGAAATGTCATGTCTGATATAACCTTTACATCTTACTTGCAACTGTGCAATAAATGACGACTAACACCCAGTGACACTAAGTGCCACCACAAGGATGAGTATCACCCGCAGAGAGGTCCCAGAAACCCCATTCAGCTGTTAGGCCTAATGGCCCGGCTATATTCAGGGCTCCCGGCAAAAGCCAGCGTGTGGCTTCAAATAACAAAAAACTGCAGCCCACATGGAGGGACGGTTGTTTGTATATATGATGATGAATGTCATGTTTGATTGATTTTTCTCTACACGTCATCTGCAACAGTGTAATAAACACTAAAACCTCATAAACACACATTGTAAGGGACCAAAAATCAACTTCGTATTTTGTTATAAGCATCTGAGCTAACCGGGGACTAATAACAATAATAATATTCCTGCTGCAAACAACATTTTGTTCATGCTAGCCAAGTGTTTCTTAAGTAAGTTCCCGTTTTGAAGTGTTACTGTATTTAACAAAATGCCAGGCTTGATACCACATACCACTCAGTTTATAGGCAGATGCCGTGGTGTAGCAGCTAGATACTTGCCTGCGGATCGGAAGGTCGAGGGTTCAGGTCCTGACAGAGTTGGACTTTTCTTTATAAAAAAAAAAAGACCAAGACTCTCATATTGACCCAGCCTTAGATAGGTACCAGGTAAAGTTCTGGGAAGTAAAGGTGGTCAGCATGATGCTGACTACATTATCCCCCACCAGGTGCCAACTAGTTTATAAAATATAGGCCTAGCTCTACAGGCTCAATATGCCTGAGGTGCTTTACTTTATTTTACTTTACGGAACAGATTTCTCTGTGTGGCACAAAATACTTTTATCACTACCATAATAATAATAGAAACTATACGATTATATACATCAAACATCAGTCATATTTGGATCCAAGTGGCCCATTTGACATATGATTAAACACTCTGTATGGGTGTGAGTCATGGGCAATGACAACAGCTCACAGAAGCCAGCTGCAGGCCTCAGAAATGAGATATCTGAGAAAGGTGGTCCAAGTGACAAGAAGGGACAAAGTCTGCAATCAGACAATACGTCAAGATCTTGATACCCAGTCCTAACAAACCCGAGTGGATCAGTCACAGTTATGATGGTTTGGACATGTATGCAGAATGGGAGAAAATCGGGCATCATGGCAGGCATGGGAGGCTAAGAACCAGGGAACCAGACCTCCAGGACGACCCAGGGTGCGCTGGGAAGACAACATCCGACAGTCCCTAACTGACAGAGGACTGGAATGGAACAAAGCCAGAAAGAAAACTGCTGATAGAGACATCTGGCGATCTCTCTGGCAAACCTCTACACCCCAAGGTAAAAGAGGAGCGACTAAGTAAGTCAATAAGTAAGTTAAACACTCTGTCAGGTTTTTAAGTTAGTAGGACGACACACGTATTAGCATGTTGCTTTGTTTACCTTGGACGCATAGTCGGCTATCAGTTTATTGTTTTTCAACTCCTAAGTTTATGTGTTGTTTTTGCATGTTAGTCTATATTTTATTTGCATAGGTTGGTCATTGCGAATGACTTCCCACGTGTGTTGAGATTTCTTTGTGTTGTTTGATGTGAAAAAAATTCGGAAAATTCTCAATGAAACGAGCAGCTTCGACAAGAAGTGACGTAGGTCTAGGATTTTCACAGTCCAACAGGTGATTGATACTTTGGTTAATTCAGACTGTGAATACGTTTATGAAGAATGCGTTCCAAGTTGAAGTGACACAGTCAGTGAGAGCTATACTGAGGAAGAGAATTATGAAAATTATAGATTTAAAACTAGATCGATAGTAAGAGAAGGGGGCGTGTCCCTTAAACAGCAACATCTGGTGCTTTCTTTAGAAACAAGACTGATTCTACTAGGTGGATTGGCACACAAAGTTGGAAGATTGGCACTAGATGAAAGGTAAACCTATTTTTTTACAATGTCTCCAAGTTTTATCTTATTCTAACCACTTGTTTGCATGTAACTAATATTTTTGTACATTATGTTAGTTTTTTCATGTTAATGCTCAGGAGCTATAGGGGAAGTTAGGTTCAGGGGCTCAGGTCTGGTAGGGTTAATGGAATTTCTTTCAAGGAATGATACAGAATATGACTTTGAAATGTGCACTTCTGGCGATGAGCAGGATGATCTGACGCAGTAATTAACACGGATGAGACAAACGGGTGTGGCTGAGAAAAGGCTACTTACGTGTGTGACCACAGTCCTCATAATCATTGGAGGTGGGGAAAAATATTGCGAGGAAAGGAGAAACAGTGTAGGAGGACAAAGAAATGTAGTGTGGAAGGACAAAGAAATGATCTCCATGGACTCTGCTTTTGTTGATGAGAAATGTTTTTGCACCAGCTGTAGAGGGAGATCATTTCTCAACTATCCACCTCCTTAGGGTTTGTATGTTTAATCACATACAAACAGAACAGCCAGTACTGTCAATGTATTTTTTGCTTTTGGGAAATTAAAAAAGTATTCAGCAGAGAAGGAAGGGTCAGCACTTTCCTTGTTTACCACAGTGGTACGTGCCTACAATGGGCTATGCAGTATTGAAAGGGTTAACGGCGAGGCTGAATGATTATAAAGTAAACTGTGAAACTGAATGATTATAAAAGTAAACAGTGAAGCTGAATGATTATAAAAGTAAACAGTGAAGCTGAATGATTATAAAAGTAAACAGTGAAGCTGAATTATTATAAAAGTAAACAGTGAAGCTGAATGATTATAAAAGTAAACAGTGAAGCTGAATGATTATAAAAGTAAACAGTGAAGCTGAATGATTATAAAAGTAAACAGTGAAGCTGAATGATTATAAAAGTAAACAGTGAAGCTGAATGATTATAAAAGTAAACAGTGAAGCTGAATGATTATAAAAGTAAACAGTGAAGCTGAATGATTATAAAAGCAAACAGTGAAGCTGAATGATTATAAAAGTAAACAGTGAAACTGAATGATTATAAAAGTAAACAGTGAAACTGAATGATTATAAAAGTAAACAGTGAAACTGAATGATTATAAAAGTAAACAGTGAAGCTGAATGATTATAAAAGAAAACAGTGAAGCTGAATGATTATAAAAGAAAACAGTGAAGCTGAATGATTATTAAAGTAAACAGTGAAACTGAATGATTATAAAAGTAAACAGTGAAACTGAATGATTATAAAAGTAAACAGTGAAACTGAATGATTATAAAAGTAAACAGTGAAACTGAATGATTATAAAAGTAAACAGTGAAACTGAATGATTATAAAAGTAAACAGTGAAGCTGAATGATTATAAAAGAAAACAGTGAAGCTGAATGATTATAAAAGAAAACAGTGAAGCTGAATGATTATTAAAGTAAACAGTGAAACTGAATGATTATAAAAGTAAACAGTGAAACTGAATGATTATAAAGTAAACTGTGAAACTGAATGATTATAAAAGAAAACAGTGAAGCTGAATGATTATGAAAGTAAACAGTGAAACTGAATGATTATAAAAGTAAACAGTGAAACTGAATGATTATAAAAGTAAACAGTCAAGCTGAATGATTTTTAAAGTAAACAGTGAAACTGAATGATTATAAAAGTAAACAGTGAAACTGAATGATTATAAAAGTAAACAGTAAACCTGAATGATTAAAACAGTAAACCTGAATGATTATAACAGTAAACAGTAAAGCTGAATGATTATAACAGTAAACAGTGAAGCTGAATGATTAAAACAGTAAAGCTAAATGATTATAACAGTAAACAGTAAAGCTGAATGATTATAACAGTAAACAGTAAAGCTAAATGATTAAAACAATAAACAGTAAAGCTAAAGGATTAAAACAGTAAACAGTGAAACTGAATGATTATAACAGTAAACAGTAAAGCTAAATGATTAAAACAATAAACAGTAAAGCTAAATGATTATAACAGTAAACAGTGAAACTGAATGATTATAACAGTAAACAGTGAAGCTGAATGATTAAAACAGTAAACAGTAAAGCTAAATGATTATAACAGTAAACAGTGAAACTGAATGATTAAAACAGTAAACAGTAAAGCTAAATGGTTAAAACAGTAAACAGTAAACCTGAATGATAATAACAGTAAACAGTAAAGCTGAATGATTATAACAGTAAACAGTGAAGCTGAATGATTATAACAGTAAACAGTAAAGCTAAATGATTAAAACAATAAACAGTAAAGCTGAATGATTATAACAGTAAACAGTGAAGCTGAATGATTAAAACAGTAAAGCTAAATGATTATAACAGTAAACAGTGAAGCTGAATGATTATAACAGTAAACAGTAAAGCTAAATGATTAAAACAATAAACAGTAAAGCTAAATGATTATAACAGTAAACAGTGAAACTGAATTATTAAAACAGTAAACAGTAAAGCTAAATGATTATAACAGTAAACAGTGAAACTGAATGATTAAAACAGTAAATAGTAAAGCTAAAATGGTTAAAACAGTAAACAGTAAAGCTGAATGATAATAACAGTAAACAGTAAAGCTGAATGTAAACAGTAAACAGTGAAGCTGAATGATTATAACAGTAAACAGTAAAGCTAAATGATTAAAACAATAAACAGTAATGGAAATGATTAAACAGTAAAACAGTAAAGCAGAATGAAACTGATTAAAACAGTAAACAGTAAAGCTGAATGATTATAACAGTAAACAGTAAAGCTAAATGATTATAACAGTAAACAGTGAAGCTGAATGATTAAAACAGTAAACAGTAAAGCTAAATGGTTAAAACAGTAAACAGTAAACCTGAATGATAATAACAGTAAACAGTAAAGCTGAATGATTATAACAGTAAACAGTGAAGCTGAATGATTATAACAGTAAACAGTAAAGCTAAATGATTAAAACAATAAACAGTAAAGCTAAATGATTAAAACAGTAAACAGTAAAGCTAAATGATTATAACAGTAAACAGTGAAACTGAATGATTATAACAGTAAACAGTGAAGCTGAATGATTGAAACAGTAAATAGCCCCAGTTTTACCTGACATTCTCCTCCTGTAATTGTGAGACTTGCGTCACTAGTTCATCAGCTGCTCGTCTGTGGTAGGACTGAACTCTCACCGAGTTGGCAGAGGATACTCCAGATGTGACAACTTCATCATCTACTCTGTTTTCACCTGCCAGATTGGCACCAAGTTCTGGAGAATGTATCACATTGAAACTGTTTCAAAGCAAGATTATCTAGAATGCTTACAATTCTTTGGATAGCCAAAATGAGTAATCCATATATTTAAAAAAAAAAATAACAGAAGATAAATTACCACAAAGATTAAAAAAAGGCAATTATAACTGTGTAGTATAGTGATTTCACATACATGGTTAAGGCTGTTGTGTATAAGGAAATACTCCGTACTTCACCTGGGGGTCGGGTGGAGGGAATGTAAGGATGCAATAGCTGGCAGGCTTGCCTGTCTGCTCTGTAGTCACAGGTTTCAACCTCCTGAATGTTTATAAAAACTGATCAAGACTCCAAATGTCTTCTGCTTCTTCTTTTTCTTCCTCTAGTTTTTTAGAGTTGTTTTTGTTGGGAATTATAAGGATGCATTTGTTAAAATAAAATTTAAAAAGAGCTCATTCTTGAAGATTCTGACTGGATGAGAGGGTTAAATCGTAAGGTTACCCCTCCCTCCCCACCCAACTCTACACTGACCTACAAGCGGTAGAGAAAGGCTGTAAAGACAGTTATTTTTACATTTCTGAACAGTTAAAGGCTTATAAGTTTGTTGTGTATCCTTTACAGGACATTGCAGAACCAACCCCAGCATTTTTTCGCTGCTGTAGTTTTTCTAGACAAATTTACATCCAGTAGTTTGCCATTGTTTTCTGGACGGTCAGCTTCTCAATACCCCTGTCAAACCAGCGCAAGGCCCGCAGCTGGAATTGAACCTGACAGCCCACACAAAAAAGCCCAAGTCGACTGACAGAACTCTGATGCACGTTTAGATGCCTGGCAACCTGCTTTTGACTTATAATATTCCAAAAATTTATCGATAGAGGGGCCATTCGTGACTGCTTGAAAATTAACTGATAATTTTAGTGTATCGTTATCCTTTTATAGGGTTTCATTTGCGTAGGCAGTGAATAGTGTTCGGCGCAAATTGTGTTGCTTTGTCGTGCGTGCATCGTGAGCTATGCACACAAATATAGTCTTAAACACATTTGACCACTGCGTTGTAACGATTACCAAAACCCACGTAGTTCACAACCACCTGTCCACTGGACATGGTAAACAACATTTGAGTCTGCTTTTCACATACCTGAGTATGATATTTTATTTACAAACTAATAAAAACGTGCCATCGGATAAGTATGCGTTTATTTTCTTGAACAGTATAAATACCCATATAGAAGAAAAGTTAAAACGTATGTGCTGATCTGTCTATAGATGAAACTAAGAAATAAAATCTATTATATGCTCTCAATTATTTGAACTACCTGGAGACAGAACTGTGATTGCCACCTGGACAGCACTTCTCAGAAGGTTATCTAAGGCAAACATCCAGTGAGGTTTGATACTGTGTTCCCTCAAGTTCATGCTCACCTGAAACAAATGTTTGAGTCAGATCAACAACCCTTTTCATCCCAGTGACACATCGGGCATATGATGCCAGGCCCAGAATCTTACAGACCAGTCAGCACTCGATGGGTGCTGTGATCAGCATTACAATGACTGCCTTTACTTTCCAGTTCATTATCTGGTCTGGTACCAATGTTTGGCTGGGTTGACTTGGCATTCCAAGTCATTTAACCACACACACTCACATACAGGTTAAAAAAAAAAAAAGATCTGTGTGTGTGGATTCCAACCCAAAATCTTTGGACTGACAGGCAAGCATCTATAGCTCCCAAATGTTTAGTAGATAAACAACAATGTCCACCAATATATATATATATATATATATTTATATATCTAGTTTGCTAGATGCTTCAATACTACAGCTCCTATCTCTCACTGTCCTAAACATTATCCAGTCATCTCCATATTGAAAGTTTACTGCAAATAATCTGTCTCTAGCCCTGGTTTTAGCATCTGTGATTATTGTTTATCCATCTCTTGATTACAGTAACTCCAAGTGGGTTACAATAAAAATGTAACTGTATCACAGTGAATTTCTTAAAATGTAGTTAACACATTTTCATAATTGTTCCCTTAGTTTAAAAAAAATGACAGAGCATTTTGAGTGTGTTCATCAGAAATCATTTATGTCTCCATGGCAAAGTGTCCGAGCCGTTTGCCTCAGGTGCTGAAGGGCATAGGTTTGTTCACAGAATTCAGCGCTCAGATTAGTTTATGAATGCGTTTATTTCTGAAACCTGTGAGAATGGTCATTAAAGCTAGAGTTCGTGCTTTGCTCAATGATTTCTCAGCAGGTGGCTGGTTTTTCTGTCCTGCGTGCCCAATTCTTAACCCTTTGAAAATGAAGTTTGTTTGTCTATTCATTAACCCTGTGAACTGCAGTCATCGCTCTCACCTGTAAATGTTTTATACAATTACATGTAACATTGTTCAGTCTCTCACTATTTCCTCATCTTCTCTTTTTCACCCTCTCTGGGGGGTGTCCATGGCGAAGTGTCAAAGGTCATGGGTTTGTTTCATGGCTGTGCCCTTCAGTTCACGACTGAAATTTTAACGGAGATCAATAGGGATACTCGCCGGAGAATGGAGTCTGTGCTCTGTGTGGCACTCATAGCAGACTGCTGGCCACTCTGCATAGACTGAGTCATATGGGATAAAACCTGGTACAATAAAGTCAATCCTCTTGACTTTAACATTTAACATTATCACAAACACAAATGACAAGTGGATGTTGCAACTACAGAGCCTTCATCAGCACAATTATTAGGAATATATGATCGTACAATACCACAAACAAGAATACACATAACTGAAGCGTCTTCAAGAGGAATAATATCTGTCTGGCCTGCTGTTGAATCTATGACATGTGTGTGACCCCGGAAATAAATACTAGTCAGAAAAAAAAAATGAAGGTCATAATTCAGAAATATTTGATGAAACTATGCTGGATGTTAAGTCCCCAAGATGAATAGGAGCCCATTAGAGAGATCAAATACTTTCCAGTAATAGTACTGCATTCCAGATTGGTTCTCTACACACACACAATAGAACACCAGAAAATACTGAATAAGAAACAATGCAGACATGGCCAACTTACTGCATCTTGGAAGACATATAGGGCTAGCTGAATCTCCATGAGTGCTGTAGGATCAAACTGGACAAACTCCCGCAGGCGACCTGTGATAGAAACAGAGCTATACTGTTAGCCAGTCTAAGATTCACAAGTTGTTAGTAGTACATCGTAAACCATCAGCAACCACAGGCTTGATCATCATTATCAATTTCCATGTCTGCTGTTGAGCGTTGTGGGGAGGAACAGTTTGCGATCCACTGCTTGATGTGCAGCAATGGCTACTGTACCAATGTAGAAACTCTTTAATGTCATCAATCCATCTTCTCCTAGGGCGGCCTCTTGCTTTCACTTCAGATCTTTTCATGTGTAGCGCCTGTGTTGGTAGTTGTTCTGGCCGCACATTCTGACTCAATGACCAAACCATTTGATCTTCTGTTTCTCAATAAATTTGCTGCATGGTGTTGTTCCTACAGGCTGTCTGATAGTATTTATAACTGTGTCGGATGGTTAAGTTGGTGGCTCTTCTCAGGCATCTCATTTCACAGATGTTAATTTTACGTAGGTTAGCCTTTGATAATGTCCAAGTCTGGAACTATTAGCACATATGCTGTTTATAATCTGTTTCTTGGGCTCATACTTATGTTTGGATGTCTTAATAATGGTGTCAGTTGGTATACACGTGCACTAGTTCATTGGCATCTTGTTTCTATTTCCTAATCTATCCTAGAGGTTCTCCAAGAATATACTTTCTAGAAATGTAAATTCTGTAACTTGCTTCAGACAAGTACCATTTAACCGGATATGTAGTGGATTAGGAATTCTGCTGGCCTGCATTACTTCAGACAAGTACCATTTAACCGGATATGTAGTGGATTAGGAATTCTGCTGGCCTGTGTTACTTCAGTTTTAGTAGCATTATTTTCCTTTTATATCTTCAGCATGTTAAACTTAGCTTGTTGAAATGGTCTTGCAATCCAGTCCTATCACTGTAGAACAGGCACTGATCATCTGCAAAAAGTAGTTTGTTTACTGTGTGTGTGGATCTAATTTTTCCCCTGGAAAGTAAAGCTCCTTATTTTCTGAGTTTTCTGGTGTGGACTGCTTGAAAGCTGCCTTTTTTTAAATATTCTATCTATATATATATATATAGCAAATAAGAGAGGAGAGAGCAGACAACCCTGCCTCAACCTTGTACTGATTGTAAACATATCAGATATACCTTCTTGTGTTCTCACTGCCCTTTAAGAATGGCCATGGTGTTATCTAGCATTTGCCCTTGTATCCCATAATCCTCAAGAACAGCCCGTAGTTTGTTTGTGTCTACTCTATCAAAAGCTTTTTCTTGAGCTACAAACACAATATGCAGTTCATCGTCATATAGAAGATGTGTTTTGGGAAATGAACAGGCAGACAAACTGGCTGGCTTTGCACAACTTGGTGGAATACTGATGCATGATAAGGCAGATGTGGTTAGTGCCTTGTGGAAGAGCGCGTACAGTTCAGGGGAGCAGATGGATCACCACAGTCTGGTGTGACTGATGCAGCGGGAAATGACGAGAGGTTCTGGCAGATGCTTGAGGCCCAGAGGAAAGGCAAGACAGATGTTTAATCAGAATGCTACTGGCACCATTAGTATCGGGACTCTTCACTGGCTGCTAAGGATGGGGATGGAGTGCTTATGGGAATGCCCTAAGTGCTGTGATGTCAGTTCTTGAATCAACTCAACTCGCAAACTGTCTTTGTGTGAATAATGCACCTGTACAACCTTTTCCTTTCCTGATTTTCCTTTTAATGACTTCATTATCCACCAACGGCTGACTGGCCTTTGAAAACATGGGACATATCCATTTACTCAGAATTACACAAGTTGTTCATCATCATCATCAACAAGTGCAATCATGTTTCTCCACGACCTGCAAGCTTCAACAGCATGCATCAGTTTATATACTGACATCCTCCATACTATGACAAAAGGTTGCTTGAATTGCCTTCCTCTATCTATTTTTCCATAAATCTTTCTAGTGGTCACAACATGTTCTGGTTTCCTTCTTCTTGTAACATGACCTAAAGATACTGACTGTTTGTGATAGGTTGTCTTTGGGCCCTCGCCTCTTTCAACAGGTGATGGGCCAACATAACATGACTATCTTTACTTCCAAGGACATTTCTTGGTACCCATGGGTAGACCCAGAGTTAAGGTTAAGTATAACAAATAAAAAAATAACAATTGCCAGAAACAGTCAAACTTGTAACTGAAACTTTACCTATAGCTTCCTTGATGGACTGGACTGATTGGTCTAAAATGTAGCCCTTGATTCCGGTAAGCAAACCCAGCAGATGTTCCTGAGAAAGCACACATATATATATCAAGGTATTGTGTGGGTTACTCAAGTACATGTGCCTATGCATGCAGCCGGAGGACAAGAAGGAGAATAAAAGGAAAAGCAACAGTAGCAGGAGATGAACAGAAGAAAAAGAGAAGGTGGAAGAGGATAATGAAAAGGAAAAGTATGAAGAAGAAGAATAGGATGAGAAAGAGGAAGAAGAGGAGGTGGAAGATAATAAAGAAGAGGAAAAGGGCGTAGAAGAAGAAAAGAAGAGGATAAAGCAGGAACAAAAATTAGGAGATTGAAGAAGAGGTGGAATAGCAAAATAAAGAGAAGAAGAGATGGTAGAAGGAATGTTGAATATTAAATTAAGCATCGACATCACAGAACATGTGACCCCCCCAAAAGTGCTCCATCCCCATTTTCAGTAGCAAGCAAGGTTTTCCAATTCCGATGGTACCAGTAACTGTCTGATTGTATATTTGTCTCGTCTTTCCCTTGAGTGTTCAGCTTCGGCCAGATCCTCTGGGAACTCCCCGCAGCACCATTCTTCTCAGACAGTAATGATCTGCCTGTGCCTCTGAACTGTTCACTTGCTCCCAAATAGCCCTCAAAGCATCTAGCTTGTCATACATCAATTCACTACCAAGTGGTGCAGAACCAGCCAGTCTATCTACCTGCTCATTTCCCAACACACCGGCATACCTTGGAGAAAATATCCAGAAGACGCTAACTACCCAGGACCTCTGAAGTGATGCTTGCCACTGCACAGATTGTCCCAGTCTTCTCCTTTCTCAACATGCTCTGTGAGTCAGTTACAATCACGGCATGTGTGTGCAGTGGAAGGGAAAAAAAAGCAGCAGCAAAGGAAGAAGAAGAGGTGCAGGAAGATAAAAGGAGGAAGAAACTGCATGAATTCTGAGAGACTGTTTTCACTGTGCCTGATCATCACAAGCAGTTGGTAATTTCATCTATGCCATATTAAAATGTCCTCCTCCACCCATACATTTATTGGACAGACAAGCAGACGTTAATGTGCTTGTCCCAGGAATCCAGACAAGCAGACGTTAATGTGCTTGTCCCAGGAATCTATCTCAGTACCTGTATTATTCATATCCCACTGGCATATACCTTTACATCGTGGCAGAGGACAACCTCATCATCTTCTTACCATCAGTAATTCAATAACTGTTGTGATACCTTCTCTTTCAAATACCTCAGTTTTTGTGATCTTGTCTTGCCACCTAAAGCTACGTACTCTTATATACATCACATGTGAAAGCTATGTAGCCATTTCTTCTGATGTGAATAGATGAGCACATTTCACTGCCATAAAAAAGATTGCTGAGTACACAAGCTTGACAGACTCAGATTTTTGTTTTAACCCTGGGCTGTCTGTTCTCTCACTCTCTCACTCTGTCTGTTTACCTCTCATTACTGCTGCAGCCTCATCTATCCTAATGCTGTCTTCTTGATCTAGTCATAGTCTGTGACTAGTGCTACAAACATCTTAATATGCCCTTTGTGATACCATCTACACCATGATGCAATCACCAAGAGACTTGTGACCTTAGAAGTAATACTGTTGACTTATATAACAAAACTAGTGCTCCAATTTTATTGCAATATTAAGACTTTCATATGAAGTCCCTCCATCCTCCAAGTGTGTCCAAGCCATCCGAGCATCTGCAGAGGAAGCATAGAGAAAACTGTAGTGATTCCTGCTCTTTCTGTTGATCTGCTCATTACTGTTGCTGTCTGAACCTCAAGGGCAAGGCAGTCATGTTGAAGAAGAAGAGGATGTGAAGTAACTTCACAGTAATGCACTTACAGAAGTCAGTTTGGGGCTGGATATGGTGGCGTCTCTATGTAGCATCACAAGCCAATTGTAACAAATCTGAGGAAGAAATAACAACGGGAACACAAATGTTACAGAATAATTATACAGAAAAACATTTTAATGGAGAAAACTACTCAGTTGAATTTTATTATTATTATTTTATTAAAGAACCATTTTCACACCACAGGCACATCAGATATGTGGTGCAAGACTCTGATGCTTACAGGCACATCAGATATGTGGTGCAAGACTCTGATGCTTACAGGCACATCAGATATGTGGTGCAAGACTCTGATGCTTACAGGCACATCAGATATGTGGTGCAAGACTCTGATGCTTACAGGCACATCAGATATGTGGTGCAAGACTCTGATGCTTACAGGCACATCAGATATGTGGTGCAAGACTCTGATGTTTACACACCAGTCTGCACTCAATGAATATGGTCAACAAATGTCACCTGTCTTTACTTCCCAGGACGTTTCATGTCATCCATTTTAAACTGGGCTGACCTGGTCAATCAAAGAAAATCTGACTTGATGCTGATTTGAACACAAGACTTTTGGGACAGCAAGCAAGAGTCTAGTTATTCTGCTACCACAACTCCCTAATATGTAGTTGTTGAATACTGTTTTCTGATGAATACACAAAAACAAGAATACTGCTTCTATTGTTTTAATAACAATTTACTAACTATCATGTGTTAATCAAATGCATGGGTGATAATAGTTCACCATCTAACTAGACCACCAGAATCACAGATCAAGCCAGTATTCTTGTCCTATCCTTGCTAAGAGATCAAACTGTCCATGTTTTTACCTTTGTCTTGTCTTTGTGCCTTTGAGTAACTAACTGCTAAATGTATGGGCCAAACTGATCAACGACTGTAGAAACATGTCGCTAAGCATATTCTTGTATGGGTGGAAAAATTACCACCTATCATCCATTGCATGCCACCTTTTAAACTCTGGCTACACTGTGAATAAGGATGATGCATTTTAAATTCTATATATTTTGACCAATGGCATAGTCCTTCGCTTTTTTGAAATCATAATAAATCATTCATCCAAATTAGTGCAAACAAAAAGAAATGGTCATGACCTAAAATTGCCTGGTAAAACAGGCAGCTACTTTTGAATATGGTTAATTTTTCTATTTAAGTTGTAAAGAATTTCCTTATTGTTTCATTTTATTCTAGTCCTTGTGTGATTTCTGAGGCTCCATGTTTGGGGACCTCCTCCCCAACATAAAAAAACATGTTGTAATGCCAGGTCTTTCCATCAATGTCAGAGTGCATAATGATAGAATGATAGGTGAGGAACCAACAGTCTGAATACAATAAGCCAGATCTGTAAAACTGAAGTGCAAGTAAATCTGAAGTTCTGTCTGGAACAAGGCCAAAGCCCAAAAGTGGACAAATATATAAAACTTTCCACTAGAGTTTACAGTCAGTGAATGTGAAGAAGGAGAACAAGATTCAATAGTTACTGTAGTATGCACCTGACAAGTTAGAGTGCAATATGCCAGGCAATCTATTGTTTGTGTCTTCTTTATTCAAATTTACAACAGGAAAACTGCTTTAAATTGAAGGGGGGGGGGGGGGGGGGCCACATGCACTCACGTACACACGCACACAAACACAATGTACAAGTCTAATATGTGGGAGCTCTTCTTCGTACAACAAATATGTCAATCAGAATATACAATAAACCCCTGTTAACACAAACTTAAGAAGAACATTCGGTTAACATGAACAAATGTTAGTCATGGCAAGTATGTACTGTTTCTTTATATCTAGCTCATCAACCTAGACCCCGACTGACATGGATGTTAATAAAAAAAAAACCAAGCATAAGGCATTGAACAGAAAGAATAAGTAAATCCACAAAAATCAACAACCCAAAAAAAACAACCAAAGTTTATAAAGAAGCAGTTGAGCATGGTCAAAGTTTTTTTCCCCCTAAAATAAAATTAGAACTGGAACAGAACAGAACTCAAGACCTTCAGACCATCACCATCACCAAGTGGCAGATCCTTTGCAGAATGCTGCTCTCATCACAGCCTGCCTAAAAGAAACTCGGACTCTCACCAGCTGACCCACCTCATGCATTTTCCTAACCAAGGTGTCACTTATATCCTGTGCCCATCATCATTCTGACTGGCCCTTGCCCCCCTTACCTGGCACCATACTATCTGCTACGTCTTTTCAATCCACCGTGGCGCTTGATATGGCCCGCAAATTTCAGTTTCTGAGAAAAGATGCTGTTTACTAGCCAATCTTCCTTGATGTATTCAGATCTTTTAGGATCTTAGTGTTTCTTTTTTTTTCTTTGTTTATGGTATTTTGAGAATCTTTCTCTAGCTAACGTGGCATTAACAGAAAACTATTAATTACTGTTAGTAAATAATACCGAAATAATCTGTTTAAATCACCTTTGATCACTGGCATCATGAGAGCTAATAGACTAAAATGGTTGGGGCATATTGAAAGAATGTCAAATGACAGAGAAGTAAAACTAGTATACACAAGGGAGATGAATGATCGTAGACCACAAGGCAGACCAAGAAGACAATGGAGAGATAAAGTCTAGGCAGACCTGCAAACACTTGATGTCACCAACTGGAAAGAGAAGGCCAACCAGAGAGATGAATGGAGGCGGGTGATATCTGCAGCAATGAACCTCAAGGACTCGGAATGCTGAAGAAGAAGAAGAAGAAGAAGAAGAAGAAGAAGAAGAAAATAATACTGAACAACAAGGCAGGAATAAAGCAGTAAACAATTTACCTTTTGTGAGTCTTGTTCCAGGATATGCACTAACGTCTGTCTCCTCTCAGAGTCCTTCCTCAACAAATAGAAGCCACCTTCTCTCATATAGGAGGCTTCATGAGTGTCGATATCTGGGGACAGCAGGTAGGTCTGCACTGGGCTGGTGTCCGTTGACATGTTTGACTCAGAGCTACAGACACACACATAGTACATACTCATTAATGTCATGGTGAAACTGGACTTTTCTGGCAAATTGTTTTACAACAGTGAAGTCATCACTTAATTTGATTGGATTGGATTCAAGAACCGACATCACAACACTCGGGGCATTCCCATAAGAGTTCCGATGCTAATGGTTCCAGCAGTATTCTTATTATACGTCCGTCATGCCTTTCCTCTGAGCCTCCAGCATCTGCCAGAACCCCTCGTCACACCTCGCAGCATTAATCTCCCCAGACTGTGGTGATCCATCTGCCTTTTCATGCATCAGTACTCCACCAAGTTGTGCAGAGCCAGCCATTTCATTTTCCAACACACCGGCATCTCCTGGAGAAAAAAATTCAGACAATACTCCTCACCCATGTCCTCGGCAGTCATCGCTTGATATATATATATAACTCAGCAGATCCTTTACAGAACTTTCAGGCGGGCCGTGAGAAGAGCAGGTCCTTTACAGAACACTGCTCTTCTCACGGCCCGCCTGAAAGTCCCTCTTACTCTAGCCAATTCTCCAGTCCTATGCATCTTCATAGCCAATTCCTCTTTATTGCTTTGTATCCATGTTCTTGTTTCCAGAAACTGCATCTTCCACTGCCATTCTCTCCAGGCCAGAACAGTGCTTAACACAGCCAAAATATCTCAGCTTTCAGGACAGGATGCTTTTTATGAGCTAATTCTCCTTGATATTCAGGTCACATTATATTTATTTATATACTAATTGCTTTATAATTCAATATGTCTATCATGTACATCAGTGGACAAATAGAATCCACTCATCTGGCTGACATTCTTATTCACGGTTTATATTTGTGGTAGGGCTTATATTACAGCACTCTGAAATCTAGCTAGGGATTATTTTCAGGCCAGAATTTATTTTCAGGCCAGGTTTTGGTTTCAGGAGTATATGGTGTGTGTCTGCAAATGTGTGCATATGTGCATGCATATGTTCACATGTGTGTGTGTGTGTGTGTGTGCGTGAAGAGATGGACAGAGAAGTTGTAGGGGGAGAACATGGGAGGGGTGTGCAAAGTGAGGGACAGAGACACAGAGAGAGACAGACATTCTGAAAATAAACGTACAAAAACTTCAGCAAAGGATAAATCTGTTATAAACATTGTAATATATATATATATATATATATATATATATATATATATATATATATATATATATATATATATATATATATATATATATATATATATATATATATATATATATATATATATATATCTATTGATTCTCATTTTCATTTTGGGTCAGATCAGCCAAGGAGCTAAGTTCACTAAAAGAAATGAAAGAAAACAAATTTTTCTCCTCCTTTTTTTTTTTTTTTTACAAACTCAACGTGGATTTCAATCTAGGACCACTACACTGACAGGCAAGCATCTGGTCAATACACTATTCTGGCTCCCATACATTTTTATTTCATGGAACAAAACAAGAAAAAGAAAAAAAAAGGAGGAACAAATCTGCAAGAGTGATAATTTTTCAGAAATCAGCTGCTTACAAAAGTTAAAGAAAGGCTAGCAAGAGATAGCTCCTGTTAAAACAAGTCATGTAGATTGTAGTCAGTTGTGATGCCACAGGAACCTTCAAGAAAATGGGGAGGAGGAAGGGGAAGAAGTAGTTTAGGCATTAACTTTGTCTTAGAGGACTTCATCGAGAATCACTTCTCTGTGGCTATACATTTATTGTGAACGTGATGTCATCTAAACATCACTTAAATTGTCAATGTTACAAAGCATGCAGAATAACAAAAGTAACTCTGAATATAAATGCTGACACATACAAAAAAGCGATGACAAAGTTTTACCCATTCTACGCATAACTGCATGCAAGAGTAACCACATATATGATGAAAAAAACATGACTGGGTGCATTCAGTATTCAGGAAATCACTATAAGTTCAACTACACACACACAAACCAAGTCATTTGTCACATGATATGGAGTTTTTAACTCTGAGGACTGATGTAAAATAAGTTTAGCAAATCACTCCATGAAATATCTAGTTATATGATTGTAAGCATCACAGAGGGCACCACAGAGAGCAATGTTATACAGATACAGCGGCAAAAGAGCCAGAGGTCAACCAAGCAGAAGATGGACCACAGAAATATCAGTGATACTGAAAAGTATTTTAAATGAAGCAAATAGAAAGGCTTGTTTCACAGATCTCTTCCTACCCTGATGCTTCCAGGCATTGCAGGAGTAGAGAACAGAAAAAGAAGAATGTAAGCTAAAGTAAAGAACCTTTTTGCCATCACTGGATCACTGGACCCACACATTTAAACTAAGGATTAAACAATTCCAACCCTGTTGTCCAGAAAAGCTGCAACAACCAACCCTTCTGGGTCAGCCCAAACCCTCCAGAAAGCCACTTAACTGACTTTTCTTTGATGGATAAGTTTACAAGATGAGTAGTCAATGATACTGGCTTTTCTTTGATGGATAAGTTTACAAGATGAGTAGTCAATGATACTGGCTTTTCTTTGATGGATAAGTTTACAAGATGAGTAGTCAATGATACTGGGTAAGTTTGTGCCTGTGCAAAAGTTTAGGAGGTCAGGGTATTATTATATTAAGAAAAAAAATTGCAGGGGAGTTGGGGGGGGGGGGGGGGGGGGGGGGGGGGGGGGGGGGGGGGGGGGGGGTGGGTGGGGGGGGGTGGAACTAGATAATTTTTTTCAAGGGTTAAGTTAACATCACATTTTCCATTTGAAATATTTTTAGACACCACGGAATGTATCTCATTTAATACTTCACTATATTCATGTTGCCTGAAAACTCCCTCTATTTAGCTTTACCTAAATTTTGAAACAAAAATTTACAATTTGTCTAGTGTCATGATTTTCATTTTCAGGGCACATAAATGTCTTGTGTCCATCATCTCTATAGTCCATGCTTGTCTTTTTAAAACCAATGTAATATCTGTTGTTGCAGTTTTAAAGACATTATTTTATTTACTAGTTTACTTCCATGTTCAGATCTTGTAGAGCAGGGCAATTCAACTAAGTTTACACATTGGTCAACCTTTTGGAAATAATACAAGTGAAAACTAACTGCGGGCCATTTGCTAGGGCCAGATTTGAGGGCCAGATTTGGCCCGCGGGCCACCAGTTGAATAGCCCTGTCATAGAGCATCAAAAATATTTGTTAGTCCTGATCCACATATTTTTAAAAAAAATTCTGATAATTTTCTAATTCAAAAGCCTGTACATTTCTTCTTTAGTTAAAGTGAACTGGTTGTCACAGACAAGTTTATGTTATAAAAACTGGTACTTGTATGTGTTTGCTTTGAACCTGTGTATGGCTGTCACTTGTCTCCTTCAGACATGCGAACAGTTCATTAATTTTAATTATGGAGCCTAGATTTTCAAATGCACTATTCAACCCCCCCCCCCCCCCACACCTTTTTTTTCTCTCTCTCTCTCTCTCTCATTAATAACTTGTGCAAACATTTGTGTAAGCCACAGCAAAATTACATACAGCTTTAATACAACAGAACATAATACAAAGCAGTGAACAAAAGAAGAAGAATAATACAAAGCTACTTATTGCGGAAAGAAGTAGAAGTAGTCATTTGTATAATGATATCCTGTTCAACCCATCTGGGTTAAAATTGGGACAAATAGTTTTTTTTTTTTTTTAAATATGTAAAAATTAGGCATTTATGCTTGTCAATTACTTTTTGGCAAAGAATAACACATTGTAGGAGTATAGATTAGGTTTAATATAAGTGTATTTAAAGAAAAGGTTGTGATAATAATATTCTGTATATGAATATTAAAAGTAATCTGGAATACCAGCAGGAAGTAGGTCTATACATATTCTAGCACTTCACAAATTATAGCACATGAGATATTCTAGACCTTCACACATTTTTGGCCTTCATATACTAAGCCGTCATATATTTTAGGCTCCCACATAGCCTAGGCCTTCACATATTCTGGTTAGTATTCAAGGATGAATCTAGCCATATAAGAATCTTGTGGTAAATGTCTGGGAAAGAAAGGTGACAAGCAAAAGAACTGGCTATCCCGCCTCATATGCTGCTGCCTAGAATATGTGACGACTTAATATTTCCCATTCTGACCAACATCTGACAACCTTTACATGCATAAGATACTTGCCTCAACCACTTGGCAATTGTCACATTAATCTACACTACCAAATGTACAGTGGTACCTCTGTATACATCCCAATCCATTTAAGATCCTTGAACTAATACCAAACAGGAAGCATACCAAACACATTTTCCCATTAGAAATAAAGGAAAAACAATTAATCCATTCCTATGAAAAAGTCCTATTGTGTATATAACGCACTGATGGGGGTAGTGTAAAATAAGTTAAACACTGCTGAATACAAAAATACACAAAAACAAAAGCAATAGATAAAATAATAAATGACATTTAACATCACTTTACCTTGATGAGATGAGCTGAGTGCCTATTAGGATGGTGCTAAGGAGGGAGGAGGATTTTGTTATTGTCTGCAAAATAATTTCAGGAATCTAAAATTCTGGGGTTTTTTCTGTTTCTATTTCTGTCTCTTTTCCCTTCCTGGACCTGGTTGAGGCTCACAAGTTCTAGCACATAATTCGTATTCGAAACAAAAGTCATATACCAAGCAAAATTGTTTGTCTAAACAGGATGTATACTTAGTTGGACTTAGAAAACTGATTTATACCGAGGTACTACTGTACTTCCTATCCCACAGTGTTAGTCTTTAACCCCTTCAAGCACAAATATTTACCTTAAATACAACATGCATGGATATTCTTCTTCTTCTGCATTCCCCCTTAGAAAGGCATTTGGCTTGATGTTTAGCAGTTTACAGCTAAGCTGAAACATTTGCACCTTTTGGATTAACAAAACTCCTAATCAGTTGCCTTCTACAACATGCTTGTAAAGGGGCAGTGGCCACCCCTCCCTCTAACCCACCAAAGGGGCACCTGGAACCCAC